ATATTCTGTTGTCAATAGAAGTAGTCTCAATTAGACATTCTGTTGTAATTAGCAGTAACCAGATTTAGATATTCTATTGTCAATATTAGTAGCCCTATTTATATATTCTATTGCCAATAGCAGTAGCCTCACTTAAATATTATAATGTCAATAGTAGTAGCCCTATTTAGAAATTATATTGGGATAGTTATAAAAAAAAAACATAAGTGGTTCCAAATTTTTGGGGCCTCATCATACTCATATTTAGGATTGCTGCTATGAATTACTTATTTTGTTATTAGACTCTGATGCAATGCCCTTCGGGTTTAATATACTTTCGGTATGACTTTTTCATTGACATTCCACAACTTTGATCCCTGCCAATTTCTGAATACGTAACATCTCCATAACAGATGTTCTGGTGATACTAAACATACAATGATTTATGTATGAACGTGTTGCGAAGCGTCATCCGTCATAACTTTCTGTGCTTCGATTTCCATTTGTGTGTCTTTTCTTTATCTTTAGGGTAAATATTTCTATCATCCCATGATTGATTTATGAAGATAAACCCCATCCAACTGAAATACCTTTCGCCCGTTCATAAATAATCATTATAGTTGTTAAATGAAAATCACAGCCAACCCTGTCAGTTAATTCAAGTATGTTGTGATATTGCATTCATTTTGATACACACGAATAAAATCATTGTAATTGAATATGCTAACTCTGATTTCAAGCCATATAGCATCGTCATAGTGTAGGTTGTTTTTCACCTTTTTTTGAGGCATACAAATCATTTGAATGCCGCTTCTTGCCTCTGATCCCAAGAGAACAACTGATATTTGACAAGTCTTTCATAGTGACTATATAGGATTTTGTGTAACCATTGTATCATATGGATACTGCAATATAATTTAAACTATGATATTTGCTGATAGCTATTGATATTTTCTGTGTTAGTTTTTTTTGCTACTGGTTGCAGTTTGGGAACATTATCAGTCTGCTTTGCTATCTGGAAAAGCTCTTCACTGCCCTAAGAATTTTAGATTGCAATGAGATGCTTTCTGCCTCGCCTGACATCATTGGAGCATTTCATGGCGAAATTCATCCACAATATGCCTTTCATCACTATCCTTCACCACAGGTGACTCAAACCAGTGCCTGGCAATGTCTGGGCTAATGACTAACTGTCCTGGAGTTCAGTAGAGACCACCCCAGTGAATCTTGAAATTTCCAAGCTGATCGTTACCACCATTATCTGTTTCTCTACCCTTTGCTCTTGCATGCGAGAAGTAATAAAAAAATCAATGACACATCAACTGAAATTTCTCCTATTCACCTATCAACCTCTTATCTCGTAAATAGATCGAAAATATGAACATAGCCATCCCTGACGAAAGTTTTTTGTACTTGCTGCATTTTTACATCGTGCCCCCAATTAAACAATACTATCCCCCTCTCCTCTCCACCATAAGCTCCATGAGGTCGTGTGAGGCACATTCACAATAAAAGTCTGCAACAGAAAACTTGTGTGGTAAATGCACTAAAATGTAACTTAACAAATTAACCTGTTGTATTCGGTTATACTGATGTCCAATGGAAAAATACCAGATATCTGAAATAAAACAGATTCTGAAAATGTTATACAGTTTGTAAAATCAACATGGACAGTGGAGGAAAAAACAAGTGTACAAATAAACCCAAAATCTCTATTCTTTCAAACTTTTGCCAATACTGGTCAACTTCAGTGTTTTTATTGAAATATTTGGTTGCTGGAGCTATAGAAAGCATGTCTACATGCGACTAAGACGGGAATCAGAGGAATGAAGGTACAACACTGATAAATTAGACAAAGGCTTTAATATGGTTTCTCACAATCTTTATACTAGTACGTCAACGATCATTCTCATTATACATATTTAAAAGAGATAAACTTCAACTCATACTAACTTGTACAAGTTTTTGTATTGCCTCTGGAAATAAGCATAATCTCTCTCTTGGAGGGCATGACACAGAAGCAAGGTCAAACAAGTACAAACCTTATGAACAAGCATTGTGGTATGTATCTTTTATCTATCTAGAGAATTATGGCTAATTTACGGCTTTACAAGGATGCCACTAATTACATGTAGAACGGCTGCTAAATATTAGAATAGAATTGAATACAACTGAATGAAGAAATGTTTTTACAAGTTATGGAAGGATAAAATTTGACGATAATATATTCTTTTAAACCCATTTTTTCCAATTTGTTGTATAATTACATTTATATATCTTTCTGCCTGTATATTTTAGGTCTTCTCATATATTTTTTTACGTTAAAGCATGATAAGTCCTTTCGCAACATCGTTAAAATGGTTTTATTTGTTGTGTTCTCAGATATTTATTCGATTTGATCCTTAAAAGAAAAAAAAAAGCAAGATATGAAGCTAATTTTTCGATTCTCCTTCTTTACATTTTCATATGATCGGCATGGCTAGGTGGGTAGGGTGCTCGACTCGCAATTTGCGGCTAGCGGGTTCGAATTCCTGTCACACCAAACATGCTCGCCCTTTCTGCAGTGGGGGCGTTATAATGTGACGGTCAATCCCACTATTCGTTGGTAAAAGAGTAGCCCAAGAGGTGGCCTTCCCTCTAGTCTTACGCTGCTAAATTAGGGACGGCTAGCGCAGATAGCCCTCGTGCAGCTTTGCGCGAAATTCATAACAAATAAACAAATATTTTTTCATTTAAAAGCTTTCTATTTAATATCTTTTTTGTTGTTTAATCTTATTTTTATTAAATTACTCTACAAAGAACTCATTTCACTAGTTTGTTATCCTGAACTTTATTATAACAATATGATATTTTCCATGCCAACAAAGTATTAATTTGTGTGTTCTTTTCATTTCAAGATTTGCTATGGCGTTGTTTGTTTATTACTTTTCTATTAATTGTTTTGCTTTAATTTTATTTGTTGTGTATTAAATAATTATGTCTAATCTGAATTTTTTTTAATTATCGATTAAATTCCAATTGGGTCAGCGTTAAATTTCTGATTTAAAATGAATGCTATATTATGTATGGTATATTATGCTGGTTATCTTATTTGTATATACAAATATACCGTGAATTTAACACTTCATTGATCAGTCACTAATTAGCTAAAAAATTAATATTTAGTAATAACTTTGCATTAAACAAACATCAATGGCAAACCAAAACCCAACTTTATCAATAGTTGATGTAGATAATGTTTGGCACCGGAAGCACTTTTTTTTTGCACACAAGTGCCTCCATTAAGGCAATGTCAATCCGTGAAGTCTCGCTCTGGAAACGTTCCAACATGCATATGATTCTGCTAATATGCGGATGAAATTAATATTTTGAAATATGAAAAGTTTCCCCTTCGTTCTGCCCCCCAGTGGCACAGCGGTATGTCTGCGGACTTACAACGCTAGAAACCGGGTTTCGATACCCGTGGTAGGCAGAGCACAGATAGCCCTTGTGTAGCTTTGTGCATAATTAAAAAAAAACAAACAAAAAAAAGCCTCCGTTCTTGTTCAATGCGAGAAATGTGAAAAGTATATGCAAATTGTATCTAGTGAAAAACGGTTGGTGAATAATGAGTGAAACTCGTAATATAGTAAGTAAAATTCGACATTATATTAGTGAAGGTCGATCGGCAGGGTTAAATCTAACGTATATATTAAGTGAACATCGCAATGATGTGAGTAAGTGTTAATAGGTAGTGAATGCATCTCGACCTATTCTAAGTGAAGGTCGACAGGTACTCTAATGAACTTCGACACAGTGAATAAAGTTCAAAGAACGGTGAGAGTATATGAATATTCATTGAACAAATGGTACAGTACTTCAAAAAACAACAACCTTAGGTGCGCCAGTCAGCAGAAATGATACTCATGTTGAGTTTATGAACACAGCTAAGAATAACTTTATAACAGAGAAAAGTTGATTCAAAACACTTCTTTTATTCAACACAAGGGCGAGGGTGGCCCAGTGGTTGGCATGAAGGATTTATAGTCAGAGGGTTCATGGTTGCTATAGTGATTCTTACTATTTAATCAGTCAGTATTAACCCAAGAATTGACTTTTTATGCTGTTGGCAAGCTATGTTCTCTGGAGTCTGTCAGTTCAAATTGAGGAACAGTTAGCGCAGCAATAGTTAAGTGGGGTTCTGAAAGAGCTGGGACTCCTTTCTCTGATCCAATTTCACATTCCAATCAGAAGATCAGGAACGCTAGTGGCGTGAATCTTCAAAAGGCGGAATGCCGTTTCGTATCGTCTCCCCCAAGTTTAATATTTGTAGCGGACACATGATACTATTCTTAAAATTTGAAAGTTATATAAATTTCAGAACATTTCATATTTAATATGTTTGATTGAGATATTCTTTTAATTCCAGAAAGTGTGGATGCTATCTTAGGTTCCTAAAATGTTGTAATCTATTTTTGTTAGAAATTGACCTTTAAAATACGAGTGATGGACAGCGGCTTCGTTACTTCAAGTCTATATTTTAACCGAAGAAATATCATTAAAACTATTTATAGATACAACTTATGGCTAGACTTATGAGGGGTATAAATCCATTTTTATTTTACTTTTTTGTGACTGACACTAGAAATATATTTTTATGTAAACAGTTCTACTAGATTTAATAATTTAAAAACTTGTCTGTTTCTTTTCAAGTTAAGCACAAAGCTACACAGTGGGTTATCTGTGCTCTGCCTACGATGGATATCGAAACCCGGTTTCTAGCGTTGGGGGCAATATAAAAGCTATCAGCATTGTAATACTGAAGGACCACGTTAGTTAACAAGTGTTTGTGCTGAAAGCCGTTCTTAAGATTCCACAGGAGAAATAATAGTAAAAACAAGGTCATAGACTAGTTTAATTGCATTTATTTTCTTCGTGTTTATGAGAAACATACAAATAGAGACAAATAATAAATATGAGTAAAAATAATTCTCATTTTACAAAACCAAAACAAACAGTACTTATATATGTTCACACTAATTAACCATATTAACCCCAAACAACAGATGTACTGGAAACATAAAATATAACATGCAGATCCAATTTCATAATTTGCCTCAAGCGTAATAGTAAATTAAACACCAACACCCACACAAAATATCAAATTTACTGTTAATCTCCGATGACTCAATATAATGAAGTAAACCTAGATGTTTAGTGTTTCACGCCAACAATAATTATCAATAAGTATTAGATCAAGGACGACATAGACTTTCAAACAACAGAATGATTGCATATGAATTACTCATTTACTTTTCTTTGAAAACAGAGATGCCCCTCATAGTATTTCAAACGATTCGAATTCTATATAATCTGAAATATGATCGAGAACTTGTAGTTCATTACTTCTGCGACCTAGTTGTGATATTTTATTGGAAACGAGACAGGTTTCGCCATCTACTAGAGTTTATAAAGAATTTCTTTGCATCATCAACATTTTTCCAGTGTCTTCTCTTTCTGTTCTTCTCCTGGATAAATAGATAATAATAATGAAAATGATCAGTCACTGGATGAAAAGACAGAATGATAAATACCTTTTCATCACGTTAAATCAACATGTTCGTTGGACTATTAGATTTTAAACAAAACTAAAAATCTAGGACACATTTGTGAGCAGAAGCGAACAATCTATAGCATAATAAATATAAATCAAATACCTAAAAAAATTAGCACATATTAACTAAGTAAATACATGAACAAGCACATCACCACAAAACTTCTGGAAAAGAAAAAATGTACTGAGTAAGCTATCCTAGAATGAAACCAGTAAAACTGATTAAGTCAAACTGTATCCTAGAACTTGTAGCAGACATGAAACGCATTTTCTTTTCTTGCTTTGTAAACATTCCTTAGTTTCCCTTGGCGTATATAATATCCTACGTCTTACTTCGATTCTTAGTTATTCGGTGCATTTTTGAGTGTTATAAAACTTAAATTATTTACCCTAAAATTTTTACACTAAATCGAAGACAATTTTCCCCAACTCATATTATTCCTGTATACAAGTGATAGCAAAAGATATTACATTTATTAAAAAAGAATGAATTTCTATGTTCATTAATGATCAGACACATTCGTGAATGTGAAATATTTTACTCTAATCATAACAGTTAGCTCAGTAGATTTAGGGTACATATATGTTAGGGTACATATATATATATATATATATTGGGATTTGAAAATATGTAGACGTAATATATCCAACTATTCAGACTTGAGAGTCTAAACATTTTCATACGATAATCATAGTTCAAAAAAAGTATTAAATCAGTCCCTCTGTTTATATTATATGAATGATCTAGGATATTTTGTCTAGAACTATCCATAGACATTTAATGGAGATATTTTTAAAATTATAAAAACGCAGTAAAACCTTTTAGAGTAACTTCAATGTTCCTTGAGTTAATAAAAGTGCACGTACTGAAAACGGTAATTGTATACTTTTCGTTTGCATTTCATAAGATTTGGAACTTACCACCAGGATAGCTGTTTTTATACACTACTCAAGATCAATACACATTACGCTGTGTGTTTAATCAGTGGTAAAATTCTCCTTCAAGAAGTACAGTGTTTGAGTATCAAATTTTGTGCAAGTTAACTGTGCCTCTTTATGCACTATTTAAATTAAACTGCCAAGAAATGTAAGAGAAAAATAATTAATAACGGAACTCCCAAAAGGAACTGGTACCAGCGAGTATTAGCATATTTTCGCTACTGTGTGAAATAAAGTCTGTTTGTTTCTTTAAGTATTAATATTATTTGACTGAAATCTTTCAAAGCTCGTCTTTTAATCTAATCTTAAAACATCTTGCATTCATGTTATCGAGGTTTTTATAATGAGTTTCGTTATTTATTTCTGCTTTTAAAACGCTGAGCATTTGTTAAAGTTGATTTTACTCACGATAATACGTAGCTCCAGTTATGTTTATCAGTCTTTTTAAAATAACATAATATCTATGTTATGATGCATTTTTATCCGTGAGAGCTTTCCGCTCCTTGTTTATGCAAAGTATATATGTATTTAAATTGCAATTACACAGGAATAAATAGGAGTAAAGTAAAAAACCAATAAGATCATAACTCATACCTGGGGAGTTATAGCACAGTAAACCAAAGGTTTAGCAAAAAGAGGTGGTTGTGACATCTTTTCTTCATATCCTGAACAACAAGGTGCGTTACAGACAGAAATGTCGCTAATACTCTTCCATCCTCCCATACAACAGGTAAACTGTGAATTCAATGTCAAAAAGTGAGAACCTAAATTTGTTTTCTAAAAATAGCTTAAATTTTGTTGACGTTATCCGTATATGTAAAGTAAGAAGCATTAGGTTATTTTTGCTTTGTTATTTTGTTAAACATAAAGATAATTTCTTTATCCAAGTCTACTTTGAATTCTTTTTAGTCGAATTACAGTTCATGTTAATCCATACATTATTTTTTAGACCAAAGACAAGCTTAGTACAAACTAACACCTCTGCAGCAGCTTTCTGAATACTTCTAACATTAGAGACATCTTTACAAACTTATATTGCTTCGTTATGAAAGGTTATTTTCACGTTTATTTGGAAACATTGATTAAGTTTTACATACTAGCACCAAAGACTCAGCGATCATGTAATAACTACTTTTAGTGGTGCTGCGCCACTATTTCTACAGTATTAGAGTTCTTCATAGAAACAATCATGTCAGTGTTGTTCCATTCATCTTGTGTAACTATTTATAAACTAGCTAATGCATTATGTTTATGATTCCAAGCAAACTCTTAAGAATAAAGAAGATGTATCAAAGGGCTTGACAACTACCTTGTCGAATAAAATTCCAGTTTCTTCGACCATCTTTCTCATGAAATTTGTCGTTGGTTTCGAGGTGTGGGTGAAAATGATTAACTACTAATTTGTGAGTTATCGTTAGTTTAAAATCCTCTTTTATTGTATTCTTAATGAAACAAGTTGATATGCCTAGCTTCAGCTCAATAGCTTTTTGAGTCGGAAGGTTCTTTGTTATGAACATTGCCCTAAGTTTGCGAATAAGGGCTTGAGTGTGGTTTCGGAGCTCGTTACTATCTTAAGTTCACTTTTCACATTTGTTTTCCTCAACATTGCCCCCATAGCTCAGCAATAAGCCTCCAAGTTTACGACGCTAAAAATCGGTTTCAGTACACATAGTGGGTAGAGGAGAAGGAGCCCATTGTGTAGCGTTGCGCTTAACAACAACCAAACCGTTCTCAAAATTTTCTTAGACATCGAAAACGAGTAATAAATTTATCTTTTAATTTCAGTCAAAATTTGAGTGTTTTGTTTTGAATGTCGCACAAAGCTACACGAGGGCTATCTGCGCTAGCCGTCCATAATTTAGAGGGAGGGCAACTAGTCATCACCACCCACCGCCAACTCTTTTACCAACAAATAATGAGACTGACCGTCACATTATAACCCCACGGCTGAAAGGGCGAGCATGTTTGGTGGAACGGGGATTCGAACCCGCGACCCTCACTTTGCGAGTCGAACGCCTTAACCACTTGGCCGTACCGGGCATTATTCCTATAAGTATTCTACTCGTCAGTATTAATTAATGAATTTAATTATTGAGACCAGGTTTCTTTTTTTACCAGATGTTTTAATTTATTGCAACAAATCGATAATTTCAAATCACCCCTCAGATGGCTGAGCGGTAAATATGGCAACTTATGGCGCTACAAATCGGGATTTGATACCTGCTGTGGGTAAAGCACGGGTAGTTCATTATGCAGTTTTGTGCTTTATAACATACACAAATTCAAATGGACACTGCCAGTTTACTTAAAATACTATTTAGAAACACACGATTTTGTGAATTTGAAATACATTATACATACACATGTGTATCTATGTACATATATATATATATATAAATCTAGAAGTATTGCAAAATAATAAAGTAATACACATTTTACATGTTATTGAAATGAAATTAAAGCTGAAATTTATACTTCAGTTTTTAATAATAAATGTTAACCGAAACTTCTATAATACTCCACAGAAATCAGCAATTGTATAATGGGATGTCTCCCAATCAGACAAGTAGGCGTTACATTCAATGAGATCACGTATTATTATTACAGTGTCAGTTTCACCTGTTTAGTACATATATATCGAGTGTCAGTTTTATCTGTTCATTAAATTAAAAAAAAGAAAAAGATTGCCTTAATCAAAACTCGGATTTTCAGTTTTATATTTTATACCATAGCTCTAGTGTTATACATGTCATTAAAATGCCGTACACAACCTAACTAAACTGGTTAATAAAAGTAGATTTAGGGGGTATCCCCCCATTATCAATGACGTCATGACACAGTTAGAAGAATGATTTTGTTATTAAGGCTTACAGTGATGAAAGAGAAGAAATTTTTAGCATGACTTCTGTCCTTCACAGCATTTCAAACACGATGTGTACAAAATAATTGCAAAAAGCGACATGTTTCACTGAAGCATGAGAGTAGAGCAAAATAAAGTAGTATACACACAAATTAAGAACTGAAAAGGGCCTAGTGGTTATCGTTCTGGTCTGTGAGTCTAAAGAACTATTGCTTGCTTCCCGTTGTTATCGTTCTGGTCTGTGACTCTAAAGAACTATTGTTTGCTTCCACTGGTTATCGTTCTGGACTGTGAGTCTAAAGAACTACTGTTTGCTTCCAGTGGTTATCGTTCTGGACTGTGAGTCTAAAGAACTACTGTTTGCTTCCCGTTGTTATCGTTCTGGACTGTGAGTCTAAAGAACTATTGTTTGCTTCCAGTGGTTATCGTTCTGGACTCTGAGTCTAAAGAACTATTGTTTGCTTCCAGTGGTTATCGTTCTGGACTGTGAGTCTAAAGAACTATTGTTTGCTTCCCGTTGACGCACAATTGCACTACAATTGTGGATGCTTTACAAGAGTGACGGTCAAATACTATTATTCGATTAGAGAAGCCAAAGAATTGGCGGAAGGTGATGCTAACTAGCTCTCTTCTCTCTCTATGCTATCAACTCGAGTTAAGAACGGCTTGCTGTATGTGAATATCCGAAATAAAAATTGACAGACTTTGATCTTTGAATTAGTAACATTGAACTTTAGCGGAATAGAAATGAGACAAAAAGAGCATTAGCTGACAATTTAAGCCCACTAATGAAAGATGTTACTTTAATATATATCTTCTTTAATGTTTCTAGCACTATGTTTGTGAAACTTAAACACATCCAACTAAACAACCAAAACACCATTTGTAATTTCTCTTATAGAGACACTTCTGGTAATTAACTTGATTTGTTTTGGAGAAACAAAACCACAAATAACTGTTTCTTCTGAAATGACTTATTGCTTATATGTATTCACAAGTTTAGCCAGACGTTTTAAAAACCTATATATTATTTGATATGATATCTGTTTAAAATATACAAAAGTAGTCCTTCATTGTTTTTAAATAGATGTTGATATTTTCAGTTTAAGGCTCAAGAGTCTTTATAAATAAAAACCAGAATCATCTGTTTTTTTCTAAAGACACAGATTCTTTGTGTTTTCACCTACCGAATCGTCTGCACTGATGATTATTGTAAATCCAAGTACCATCAAGAACATTATCACCATCTTTTTGAGGACAGCCATGCTGGGCCGCTTGTATGTTTTGTTGTGTTTCCAGAACCAGAGACCAGAAATGCGGATTTCAATGAAAGAGATCAAACCTAAAGTAAAACCAAGATTCTACTTTCAAGTTTTAATTGTTAAATGCCCGTCAGGGATTTATTTTGCCAAGATGGATAGTCTGGTGATCACGTAATGACGTCCCAAATAAAATTCTCTAGTAAAAGAAATAAAAAAAAACATTTGAAATTACAATTTCTATATAAATATGGAATGTATAGAAAATCATAATAAATAAAACATTGTTGGTGGTAACTTAAACCACTTCCTCCCTATGTTTAGTCTAATATAATGCTGACAAGAATCTCATCATAAAAGTTGGTAAATACTTCATTAAAATGACAGTAAAATGTTTCGACTACACATTTGACCTTCTTCTCATACAAATATTTCAAAAAATATTAAAAAGTACCCTAAATAGGATAAAGGGTTATAATACAAACTACTATGATGTATCAAGACTTAAATAATGATTCAAAATTCTAATTATTGTTATAGAAAACATGAAATAGTTTTATCTTAGAATCAAACAAAGAAAAAAAATACAAACGAAGATATAAATAAATGTTTAAGTTAGTAATGGACGCACCTTTATATGACGCTCCAGAAATGTACAAAGGCTTTATACTTTCAACAAGTTCCAATTATCTAGGTTTCTTGTGTGTGTCTAACAAAACCATTACACTAGGAACACACTGAGTGAAAAACGATTTTAAATTTGTAGTTATTATAAATAGCTTAGATTATACACACAAAAAAGGCATTTAATCCAACACTGGAATTATTCTCTACAAACCCACAAACAATTTCGTACAATTTCCCATTACAAATAATACAGAATTTGTTTTGTTCAACGCATTTACAAAATTCCTTTTATTTTCAAAATGAAATTTTTATACGAATAGAAACTCTTGGGAAAAACTATCATCTCCAGTATTTCGTGAACTGTCAATAGTGAACACAGAACAAGAGATGTATGATAGAAACGGATCCACCTACATACAGCTTAACGCTATCTCCATGACGTGCTTACAGACTAGTATCGGATATCATTTCAAAATCAAATAAGCAGAATGCACTCAAATATAACACCTACATATAAAAAGTGAAAAATAACTATGTTTTAAAATTCAAATAAACTGAAATAATGAATATTTAACAATAAAACATATAGTAAATCCTGTCAAAATTATAATTACATAAAAGAGGAATTGGTCCACATTGGGCCCCTGTCGTGTATCTACAACAAAGCTTTATGTTAAGTATACAGGCTATTTAAGTTTAATGCATGTTTTGTAATTTGGATAGTTTGGGTGTAGCGCGAGTGTTAAATTTGGTTATTTTTACAAGTGACAGTTTATCTTAGATTTTTTACTTAACTGTGTAGGAATCATATGTTGTATAGTTCCGTTGCTGCGATTTGGCGCTTGTATTATTGTGCCCCCCCCCCAGTGGCACAGTGATATGTCTGCGGACTTACAACGCTAGAATCCGGGTTTCGATACCCGTGGTGGGTAGAGCACAGACAACCCATTATGTAGCTTTGTATTTAATTACAAACAAACAAGTATTATTGTGTCATGTTACTAAAAACTTCTAAGTCTTTCTCGTTGTTTCAATTTAGTGTTATTGTATCATATTATCTTGTAGTGTGTAAAACGGTCTAGGTCTCTGTCAGTCTGTAAAAACGCGTACAAAATGTAGTTCGAGAAACTTAGTTATATAGAAAGTTAGTGAGAAATATAGTTAAATAGATCTAGACTCTGCCTGTGAGCTTAGCCATAAAGAGTGTATAGTAGCGTTTTTTAAAGTGAAGTTATTGCAGATTGTATTTTAACAACAGAGTATAAAATAATTATTTGTCTTGTCAGTTGTGTTCTAAAGTAATTGAACAAAACTGTGTGGACTTTTGATGGAAAGAGACAATTACTTAAAGCTCTGGATACAACTGTGGTAACCAACAGTGTAACTTAAGTGAAATTATCACCGATTGTATTGTAATAACAGAACATATAAGTATAATTCATCTTGTCAGTTGTGTTCTAAAGTAACTGAACTACTCTGTGTGAACTTTGACGAAAAGAGACTGTTATTTAAAGACCTGGATACAACTGTGGTGATTAACTCTGTGACGAATATTTGTATATACGTTTGACTTGTTTTTAAGATATTATTTTAAAACAAGTGGACTGTGTGCTGTTTGTTTATTGTTGAAATTTGTCGCCAACAAGTCACAGACACCTACTGCGAAGAATTCTTCCCAGGCATACAAGAAAAACTGACACTTTATAATTATGTAGTAAAAGCAACCTAGATAAAGAAAATAGCTTATTTCTGGAACTTTTGAAGAAATAACTTGCATTTGGCAAAACCAGAGCTTAAAAGACATTAAAGAAATGTAAAAAATTAAATTTAATAATAACAACCACAAAAAATATGCATAAAAATGTAGCTGCTGAAGAAAAATCTATGAATCTAAAACATTCAATAGAAATTTTATCAATGTATGGATATATTAATCAATATACTGATAAAATTTGGAGAAAGGTTTCAAAAAACATGAAATTAATAACAAAGTTTTATTTGAACAAAAATCAGGTAAAAAAAAGTTATCTAAGAACGTTCATACTATCATGAAATTATTTTCAAATATAATTATAAAGAATGTAATAACTTCTACATAGGTGAAATGTGCTTCAATTTAATAGAATTAAGAAACACACTAAATCCCCCTTACACATTGCAGACAGAATTATTTGCAATGAAAGTGACGCTAGTAAAATAAGCTTTTGTTTTGTTGAAACGTTATACCGCCTTTTTTAAAAAAAAGTTGTTATGCACTTTAAGCTGTTTAATATTATATGGTAGGTTTAAATTAAAAGATGCTCTAAGAAGCAACATTTTATTAACATCACCTTAGAGTTCGAGAATTGAAGTGTAACTTATTAATTACAGCACGTTAAGTTGGCTATTTTTAGATTTAAAAGATCGTTATATGACTAATATTATTCTCTACATGTTTATTTCATGTTCTAGGCCGGTTATCACTAATTTTTACTTTGAGTCGCAAGTTATTACTTCCTCTCAATTTAGTCCTCCCTCTGGTGGCTCAGCGATACGTCGGAAGACTTAACGGCTATCGAAACCCGGTTTCTAGCGTTGTAAGTCCGCAGACATACCACTGTGCCACTGGGGGGGGGGGCGATAATTAACTGGAATCTTAGCTCTTCAATAAATATATCAAAACATTAGTTTGGTTTAATGTTTCCGTAAAGCTTCAACAACAGAGACTAAATCGATGCCATTTTAAAAACTATTTAAGAACAAAAGTACTGAATAAAATAATTTGAACATAAACAGAGTCTACAAATACATATCTGATACATGAAAAAAAACTGATGAAAGTAAGTTAACTTTTGTTTATACACTTACTTTCGATGATGCTTCAGAAGGGGTAGAAAACCTCGAACTAGAAGAATGTACTACTCAGTTGAACTGTTAGAAAGTATGACCAAAATTGGTATGAACTACTTGTTTTATTTCTAGAGATTTTAACCTACACTTCACGGACGCAGCTGTTATTGGTTGATAGAACCAAATTGCTTATGGTTGATTGGATGGATTTTTGCCTAGTTTGCTAATTTAAACAAAATGGTATTAAATGAGAAACGTAATGTGAGAATATAAGTATTATTAGTAATAATAGTGTTGTTGAACCATCGCGTTCAGGGTTCTAATGTGTTCTCCAACAACATTTCCTTTAAATGTAAAATATTTTCGTCATATCCTCTGAAGCGGATTTTCAATGTACTGTGGTATTTGACAATGACACATTTTCCAGCATGTGACTACGTATACTTGCTTCATACTTAATCACTAAATGTTTCTTTATGCGTGTTTCTGTTAATTATATACATCTTATTCATTTCATTGACACGCAAAACAATAAACTGTATATTATAGTTAGACAAATTCGTTTGAGCAAATTTAATCGTTTAACGAAAGAGCAAGGAGTCAATACGGTTATTAATAATGTCATACTTAATTTCTGGAATTATTTTTTTAATAAAGTAGAAAAAAAAATGTATTAGCGCCGCGTAATAAGATTGTAATTCCATCTTTCAAACTCAAATTTGAGGATCATGTGCTGCCTTTGGAGCAATTATTACAGGTTTCACAACAGAAAATATGGAATGAGTGTGATAACTCATTTAATAGCATTATAAATTATATAAATAGAATAACCTTATCATCATTTAGCGATTATAATTACGGGTACAAATGAAGAATAAATAGAAATATCAAACTTAAGTAAGAATGATGAAATAGTTATATTATAATCAGATAAAGCCAATGGAAGAGTTATTAAGAATAACATTAATTACAATTCTAAAAACAACAATATTTCAAATGAAAATATAAAGTTTTGGATGGTAAAAAAGGATCTTACAAAGACTAGAGAAACAAAACCATAAAGTTTAACGATAACACAATGAAGAGGTCATCTGAGTATTCTGTAGATTATATATAAAACTCCTAAGGTTGTCCAGTTAGACCTATGTAGCTTCTAATACCGGTACGTATGTTATAAATTAGCTGTTTGTTTTGGTTAAATCGATCGTACGCGATACTTACAATGAATACACAGTTAAAGATAGTTTTGAATTTTGATAAAGTTGTTTATTGGGCAAGTTTTGACATAAAATAGTTGAAAGTAATATTCCTTTAGAAAACACTTTATAGTTAATATTTGACCTGTATTATCACCTGTAAATGACATATTTCAAAACATTACTATTAGAGCCTGCCACCAAGAAATTGCATGTTTATTTAATAGCGACATATATATGCCCATATTGATGAAGTTGCAATTGAATAAACGTTAGTACCATTTCTTGTCAATTTATTCCTTTGCCATTATGAAAACAATGACTGGAAAACTTTCTATTAAGTTTTAAACCTCTATACCAATGAAGATA